GTAAGGTTGCTTTTACTTTGACTTTGCTGTGTTGCTTCCTTGTGGCATTTTCACTCTGCTTTGCTCGTCCTAGGCAACATTGATTCTGTACTTTGGAGAGGAACGGCTCAGTCTCAGTGATGTGGCAGATTTTGCCTTGCTGTATTATTCTCTGGGTCTGCGAGAAGCTCTGCGAGAAGCTGTGTCCACTATTGAGCTTCTACCGCATCCCCAAGCTTCGTCTGATTAGTCATGACTGGCAGTGCTCTGTCCTGTTTACTCTGCATCAGTTAGTGTCTGGAGCAGTGTCCCTCGGTGCGTGTTTCTGCTCAGCAGACGGTCAGAAATGAATGGCACTGCAGCTGAGAAGCCGGTGGTGTTTAGTGTTAAGTGAACCACGGAGCATCCAGCTCTTGTTTGCACAGAGTTCAACGTGATCGGTGTGCACAGGATTCTGCACTGCACTCAGAGATGAACTGCAGCTATTCTGAGTTTATCATATCCAATTTTGGAGAGGACAGTTTATTGTATTCAGCTTATGATTCATTTTTCTAAAATCCCGACGACTCACTCAAGTTTGTGGGTGCGAAGGTTTTGATTTTCTCACATGGTAAAAAAGTTTGCTATTCTGTTATTTGTTGGTGTTTTCATAGTAAAATGTGAAGCTTGTTCCTAGATCTACTGTTTGTCAGTGGTTCACCTCATCATATGTAGAGGTCTGCTTCACATCCAGATTGTGTATCATAATTGGAAGTCTGCTATACTGTATTTTCAGCTGCTGCCTGGGTTACTCCCTGATCTGGATGTGGGGTAATTGCATTCAGGGTTTCACTGTACGGTCCGTTCAGTGTCAGAGTCTGCGCCAACGGGCGACTTTCTCTGAATCAAGCGGTACACATGACTGAGAAGGGATATCTCATCCTGCGTCTGAACCAATACTTGTCACTGAGATGTTCAGTCACAGATGGTGTTAGTGGATCATGCCTGAAAGGAAATTCAAACTCAAGGGGTGATTGCATTTCATGGTCTACTGTAGTTTCTGGATCGCCGCTCTTTGACATTTGTCGAACGAATTATTCAAATGAAAATCAGTGTATGGGGAGACTAGATGGAGTAACTTTTGATACAAGTAGAAAGACATCCTGCTTGGATCAAATGCTCTAAAATCATTCACAGATGCAGTTATGGTCCATCTATCCTGCTTTAGTAGCAAAAGCAATGGACCAACACGCTCTCTCCAATAGAACGACACGACAAGTCATTTTGGATGCAGAAAGAACAACTTTCTTCTCCATTTAGTCAGTATTGACTACAATGTAAAATCATCCACGTAAATATATTATCCTTTGAATAAGTGAGGAAGTATAATAAAGTGGTCAGGTGGGGTGGTGGAGTGGTCAAACAAACACAGGACTTCCAAAGGAGACCTTTCTCAAAGTGTTGTAGTGAGGTTAATGACGTGCCTTTTTCTTGTGTTTCTTGTGTTGTTTCGGTACGTATTTTACTTAGTTTACGTGCACAATTCGACCGTGATGTTTTTCCTGAACCTAACTTATTGGTCGGGTTGCCTCACATAACTGCGGCCGTCATCATAGTTTCATTGCCTAAGCTTAACCGCAATGGTTTCACAGTAAACACATGGCATTACATGACACGCAAAAAGCCTAAAATGCCTTAATGACTCACGGAAATGCTTTGCTATTTATACGCCTTCCCATCAGAACGGGTTGAATGGACGTATGTAGGACTTTGAGCCAGAGGACCATTGGGAAAATCTATATTGATAAAGCATTAAAAAAGTTCATGGAATGTGGTGTCAATGCATATCTCTTTGAGGAGCAACAAGATCATATTACTGATCAGAGGGTAGGCTGTACCACTGTAAAAAAAAACATCCAACTAAACAAGTAATTTGGTCAAATAACACTTTGCCATTGAGATGAGATTATTCCACTTGTTGCGAATGCAGTTTTCTTTTTGTCTTTTATTTTGTGTCTGTAGCTTGAAGTGACACAGAGTTAGGCAGATCACTGCAATAGTCTCAACAAAAGGATTCATGGAAAATGATTGTGCAGTGCACTTGTTTTAACTGTCATGGAAACTTAAATCAAAATCTCTTCCTGCTGTCCTTTTAGTAAACGTTAAACTCTACTTGCAGTACAAGGGTCATCTTTGCTCCCTGACTTATTTAAAAGAGAACAACAACTTGAATTTCTTCAATACGTTTTGGGTGGAAACAAAGAGAAGTTTTTCCAAAAGCGCATTGTCATGTAGGCATTAAGAGAGGATTATATACTGAGCGCAAAAACCTTAATAGAAAAGTGGAGAAACAAAAACGCTCTTGCCCAGAATCTAAACACCAAATGAGGGAATATCTTTTGGAAGAATGGTGTTCGTGCCTCCAGTAGTGTTCCAGACTTGGACAATCTTTGCCAAAGAACTTATAACACCGTTAACAAACACTATATTGTTTTTTATCTTTCTTTTGTCAGCGGGCTGTAGCTGTAAAGCAGGATATGTGTAATGGTTTAATGTTTTTTGGATGAAATTATGCAAAAGAAAATGAAAAGGAGCTTGAATGTGGAAGGGCAATTTGGGGATTTGTGGGCACTGTTGGAAGCCAAGGCAGGGAATGTGTTTCAAATGTTAAAATTCGGTAATTACAGAAACTGGTTACTAAGCTACACTGCCCTCACTGTCAGCTGCATGACCAACCATGACTTCAAACAGCGATGGAGGAAGTTTGAACCCACTTACAATACATCCTGTCTGACTTGTTCAGTCATACAATGCCCTTGCACCAGAGTATTTCTCATGTTAATGGTTTACTCAGACATGGTCACTCAAGCCTACAATAGCGTCTGCCTGGATATTGAATAACTCATCAAGCAACAAGGCTAAGAGTCTAGGGCCTGCCTAGCAGTTGTGCAATGTTCTTTGTGCAGCTTTGAACTAAATGCTAACGCAGCACAACATGCTCACAAGGGCAATGTTAACAGTATAATGGTCATGGAAATTATGTTGGCCGCTTTAATTCGGCATGCGATCATGCTAACATTTGCTAATTAGCGCAAAAGACCAAGTAGAACTGAGGCTGATGGGAATGTTGATTATTCTGTAGTATTCATTCATTTTGAATTCATTCTACCTCATGATGGAGCTTGCTTTCAACACATGATACGCATGATGGACCCAGATGAATAATACAGTCAGAAAAGGGGAAGGCCTTAAGCCTTATGTAACAATACACAAAGGAAACTGTAGTTTCTGTGAGGAGAGAGCGATGGGGGGGTCAAAGGAGAAGGAAAGGTACAGTGAATGAGAGCTATAAAGCGAAGTGATAGAGGAGCTGACAGGGAGGTGGGAGATGAAGAGGCAGGAAATCAAGGAAGGAGCCAGAGACGATGAAGGGAGGCAGAGATGAGAACAGCGGGACTGCAGGTGTTGATCGAGTGTCGCAGAGAACGAGGTCCCCGTTGGAAACCAAGGCCGCGATGACTGGCGCTTGGACAAGACAACCGTTCACGAGAAAAAGAGTGATGCAGTTTTTGGAAAGGTGTAGTGATGAATACTGCAGCAAGGAGAAGAAGCTCTTGGGTGTTTCTTTACATGACTCCCCCTCTACCTCAGCAAGCATGAATTACGTATAGGCTTAAAACTAGCTCGTACACACTTCAATTATACGCACACACACGCGATGCATAACTACATTAGAGCTCAGAGGGCGTCACCTAAAAGTCAGTAAAGTTGATTTGGAGCCAGAGGACGAGCGGCTGCATCCTTCAAATGTCTCAGCACCTTAACCAAATCAACTCATTTTAATGGTCAGCTGACAGCCTTCACTGACCTTCTTTAGTCGTGGGATACACACTCTAAAAAGTGTATGTTGTCAGATGGATAGAAAAGGTGCTTTTTTTAATCTGTGTGCTTTCTTTGATAAACAATGTGACATTAAAATGTCTTTCATCAGAATCAGGTAACGGACGTTAGAATCCGCCATAGCTGTGATCACGTACGTGCGCGCTTCCACTCGTGCATGCATTCACACACACACACACACACACACACACACACACACACAACCTCACACATGCTTGACCTCCATGGAAAATGTCAGCCTCATAGATAGAAAGTTGCACTTTAGTGCAATGACGCCTCCTGCAAGAATCTACTGTATGACAAACGGTTCATGAGTGTGGCCATCATAAGCAAATTTGTTTAGAACTTTTATGTTTTTCTTGTTATATCCTCACTGCCACACCCCCTTGTTGCCAATTGACATGAAACACAAACACACACCTTCGTACCCACATACATGACCTCCCTGCCTAATTTCAGCCTCCCAGGGCGAAAACTGTGATGGCCAATGGGTGATCTGTCAGTCAGTCTCTTCAACCCTTTTTGGGTTTGTTAAGTTTGGTTACATTTGGTAAAGATTTTCAGCAATATATATAGACTTTTATTCAAAGCAGATATTTTGCCTTCGACAGCATTCATTCAATCATTAATCTACCCATGTGTCAATCATGTCAAAATATCTGCCAGAGTCTGTTGTTTTTTGTTTCCAAGTTGAAAAGAGTTACATTCCTTAATTATTACTTCCATTCTTTTCTTCCTTATTTCTTGTCTTCTTCCTGTCCTATTTTTTGTTTTCCTTGTTTCCAGCCTTCTTTCTTTGTCTTTCATTGCTTTTGGCATTCACTTTTTCTTTTCCTGTGTTGTTCGTTTCTTTCTTTCTATTTTTTCGTCAGTCTTCCATTGCATTTATTCATTTCCCTCTGCCCATCCTTCATGTCTCTCCTTCCACCGTAGTGTCTATGTACTTTATATGAAGTGTGAGTTTGTCTGTCTGGTTGTGTCTTGTCTACATGTCCAGTCTCCTGTCCAATTAGTCACTCTAGCAACATCGCAATTCCTCACAAATAATACTACAAAGACAACAACAGCTTCTCTGAATCCACTTTGAATATTTCTTCTTATTCTTTGTCAGCAGTGCACTGCTCAGTAAATCTTTGTGGACG